GTTTGCGGAGTCTGGCGCAATGGTTCGTGATGTGTCGTAACTCCACTTCCAGTGCATGTAGTTCTTGTTCGTATTCTGCATGTTGGCGTTCCGCTGTGTCGTCGTATGGGCTGTCAGGTTGTAGGGCTTGAAGAAGTTCGTGCGGGGTGTCGTAGTTAATCTCGGAGTCGACGATGCGTAAAATATTCCCGCGGTCCCGTAGTGCTTGTCGTAAATCTCGGCGTCGTCGTAGTAGCGCCAGTCGTCGGCCTCGGAGTGCGGCGTATTCTGGATATTCTCTGCGTTGTGTCTGTCCGTAGTATGGCTTGGCCGCGTCGATGATCATTCGGTTGATGTCTTGGAATAGCTGGTCGATGCCTTTGCCCTCTGCGTCGTAGTTTTCGACCTTAGTCTCCAGATCTTTGATGAACTCGTCTCGATTGTGTCCTTTGTGTACTGCCTGTACCAGTAGATCCTTGTCCCAGCGAGTCTGCGGCGTAGTCTGGCGCACTCGGTGTCGTAGCGGTATGCGTAGTGTAGTTTGAACTGGAACGTGGTCCCGATGAAATCGACTCGGTATGTGCTGGAGTCGCGTGCCCATCCGAAGGAGGGGGCCTTGGCTGATCATGCTGCCGATAAGGTCCTGGGGCGCCATGATGTAGTCGATGCAGCTGGCGTGCTTCTCTCCGAAGTAGGTTGGCCTCCAGCTGCTGGTAGTATTCGTCAGTGTCAAGCGGTGGCGTTCCGCATATTGTCTGGCTTTCTGTCCTGCGCCTCCTGGTAATCGTTCACGCGCGCGCCCAGGTCCCAGGGCATCTGAGATCGGGTGCTCGTTCTGCGGGGTGATGCCGGCTCCGTCGTCGAGGTCGCCCGCCGTGAGGAGGATGCTGCTTCTCGGTCTGGTTTTGGCCATTTCGTCCATCCACTTGAACAGTCTGGCCACCGTCGCGTAGTACTGCTTGCGCTCCACGGTCTTCTTGGGCTGCGGTGGGCAGTAGTAGCCAATGAGGAACAGGTCTGTATCGTGATGTCGCAGGTGTAGTGCAAGTCCTCTGCCGCGAAGTTCGCTTGGCGGTTCATGAATTCCGAGTATCTGTGCCCCTCGTAGTTTGCCCTGTACAGCGATGCTAATGCCCGTGCTGCGGTTGGTGAAGGGCGCCTGGCTGCCATCCAGCGTCGATCACCCGTGTGTCGTTATATCTGCGTTGTTCGGGGTGTGCTTCTCGTCGGAGTCTCTGGGTACCTGTAAGGATGATCACGTCGAAGTTGCGGGCCTCCTCGTCAATCTCTCGTTGTCGGTCGGGCGGCGCCGTCAGCGGATTGAAAAGCAACAGAGCGAAGGAGGCCGTCCATGCCGTCGCCATGCGGGCCTCCGCCCAGCTATGTGTGTCACCACATACAGTGTAATAGCTGTGTGAGGTCCTGTGGCTGCCCTGACAATCTCTTAGGCCCAGATGGCAGCTGGAGGAGGAGGAGGAGGAGAAGGAGGAGGAGGAGGAGAAGGAGGAGGAGGAGCAGGAGGAGCTGGAGGAGCTGGAGGAGGAGGAGGAGGAGGAGGAGGAGGAGGAGGAGCAGGAGGGGGAGGGGGAGGAGGAGCGGCCCCTTCGCGCCCCCCTTGCAACCCCTTCGCGCACCCATGCACCCTTGCAACTCGGAGGATGACGGGCAGTGGCTGTTCACAACGGGGCTCCCGCCCGAATTGTGTGCCCGTGGGGCGCTGTCTCTCGATGGGGGGCGCCTCGCGCAGTGGAGCAGCAAGGGCTGGAAGGACTCAGGGCGATGGAACTGGGAGCGGGAGGGTGTATCGCAACATCGTTGGTGCATCTTGCGTCTGCGCTGTGCCTTCCTCCACCTCCTGCTCTCCTCCTGCTGTTTCTCCTCCGACCTTCCCCTCCTCAGCCTCCTCACGCCTCCCCCTTCTCCTCCTCCTCCTCCTCCTCCTCCTCCTCCTCCTCCTCCTCCTCCTCCTGCCTCCTCCCTCGCATCCGCATGCTCAGCCTCTTTCCCACTGCTTCTCCTGCACCTGTCCATGCTGGTCCTCGTCCCCCCTCTTCTCCTCCTCTTTCTCCTCCTCCTCCTCCTCCTCTTCTTCCTCCTCCTCTTTCTCCTCTTTCCCCTCTTTCTCCTCCTCCTCCTCCTCCTCATATTTCACGTCCTCCTCCTCATCTTCGCACATTCCCCGTTCTGATCCCCCTCCTCTCTCGCTCCGCTGCGAAGGCGCAGGCCGATGCCCTTAGCAAGTCACGTCGCACTTCCAATGTGTTGCTCGGACTGGGCTCGGCATCGGGCCGCCCTGTGCGCATCGTGACGCGGGTGGCAGCTTGCGCAGAGTAGGAGGAGAAGGAGAGAAGGCGGAGAAGGGGGAACTGGAGGAACATAATGATTATCATGTAGAGGAAGATGGTGATCGTGGTGGTAATGGGAGAGAAAGGGGCAAGAGGTACAGGGCGATGATGCTCGCCATGAGAAGGATGAGACGCGGCATTACGAGCAGAAGGCGGAGGCACAGGAGGGACAAGTGGTAGAGAAGGGAGGATGAAGAGGAGCAGCAGCAGGAACATCAGGAGGGAAAGTGAGAAGCAAGACCATACCACAGAACAAGCGGTGGCAACGTCTGGAACGGGAACAAAGGTACTGTCCGAGTTGGCGATGCGATGTCCGCTTGGCCAGCCCTGAAAACCCTGAATACCACCCCAAATAACACATATCTTAAAAGGGGGGCGTCGTTTGCTTCCCCCTGTCGGGGCCGTCGTTGCTTTACTTCCGCTGGCCTCCGTCCGCTTTCCGCCGGCTTCCGCCGAAGGCGAGATGCACCGAGGGCGAGAACCCGCTTCGAACGCCCTAGTCCCTAAACTGCAGCAGGGTGCCGCCGTCAGTTGCGCTGCTCAGCACCTCGGGATGCGTATAGGGCCGCCCAGGGTCCGCAATGCGAGCCCCTCGACATATCTCTGCCCGACGGCCACGCAGTAGCCTTCACCCGTCACTCCTCCTCCGAATCCGTATCCTCCCTTTCCTAATCCTCCTCCTCCTCCTCCTCCTCCTCCTCCTCCTCCTCCTCCTCCCCCTCCTCCCCCTCCTCCCCCTCCTCCTCCTCCTCCTCCTCCTCCTCCTCCTCCTCCACTTCCTCCTCCTCATCATCATCATCATTTCTCCTCCCTATTCCTCCCCCCAACTCCTCCAGCGCCGCCGCCCAGAGGAGGGGTGGCCCACGCATCTTTGCCCCCCCCTCCAGTGTTGAGGGCAATGGCGCTGTGGCAGAGCACGCTCGCTGTGATCAGCAGTGGGATTGGTGTCTCCTGGCAGGGGGTGAATGCGAGAGGAGGAGGAGGAGGAGGAGGAGGAGGAGGAGGAGGAGGAGGAGGAGGAGGAGGAGAGGATAATGAGGAGGAGAAGAAGGAGGAGGAGGAGGAGGAGGAGATGGAGGAGCAGGAGCAGGAGGAGGATGAGGAGGAGGAAATGGAGGAGGAGATGGAGGAGGAGGAGGAGGAGGAGGAAGAGGAGGAGGAGAAGGAGGAGGAGGAGGAGGAGGAGGAGGAGGAGGAGGATATGGAGGAGAAGGAGGAGGAGGAGGAGAACACTGAGGCTCAGGCTGAGACGGAGACTGAGACGGAGGAGGAGGAGGAGGAGGAGGAGGAGGAGGAGGAGGAGGAGGATGATGATGTGGAGGAGGTCTCCGGAGTTCCCAGGAGGCCCAACAATTGCCGAGGTCTGGGCCGACAAGCAGTATGGGCGCAGTACACCAACTCGGTTTCAGGTTCCACAGCAGGGTCCCCAGGTGTGCCAGAGGTTCTCCGAACGCTTGCCAAAAGAAACCCACCAGGTGCTTTCATAGTAGAGAGCAGGTCCTTCAGGGGTCTGGGCGCTTCGGAGCTCGCGACGGAGGATGCCAAGCACAATGCACGGAGTGGCCAGGTGTCTCGGGGGAGTCCCCAGGCCCCCTCGGATCGTGACAAACGTCATGACGGGAAGTTTTTCGCTATTTTCTGCCTCTGGGAGCCCTTACCAGGCCTCGGGACCGTCAAACAACGATTCAGGACGAAAAGCCGGTCCCGGGGAATGGGTCGAGACATCTGGAGGTCGACGCCATGAACAACAATCATGACGCCGAGGGTCTGGGCACGTGGACACAGCACGCGGCACGAGAGATCAGCAGGTGCTCCCGTGACCTGTCCTGCCACTGCGTCCAACAGGTCGGGGGCGCGTGTCGCCAAGGAGTCAGGGCGTCGGATGGTCGAGTGGGTGTTCGCATCAGCAGGTCCGGAGAGACGCAAAAACCCATCGGGGGGGAGGGGGCGACCCCTGGTGATCGTTGCCTTGTTCACTGCTTGGCCGATCGGCGTGGGCCCCTGGCCCGACAGTGTCCTGCCACTGCCTCCTAGAACAGGGGGCACGGGTCAGTCCTCTTCTTCTCTTCGTCTGCCGTGCCCGGCGTGAGGAGTCGGCCGTGGGTACCCCAGGAAGAGGACGACGCACGTGCCCCCGCACCGAGGCTTTGGGCGATCGGCCCCGGACAAGGTCTGGCAGCCGCTGCATCGGCCCCCGCTGCAGACCGCAGGGTCCGCCTCGCCGAGGACGGTGCTCACTCGACGTGTCCGGCTTCACTGCACGTTCTTGGCACGTCTCTACGTGTGCAGCCTGCCTCACCACACGCTCTTGGCGAAGAATCGGATGTGACTCGGCCTCTTCTTGGACCTGCTCGGCACAGAGCTGCTGATCCCCCTCTGCAACTACCTCGTCGGCTGGTCTTCCTCCGGGCGCGGACTGAGGGGGCGCAAGGTGGCCGACTCCCAGCACGTAGTCAGCCGCCATCACATCGCGCTGAGCGGTCGGGGGCACCCCGATGAACCCGCACCAAAGTTGGCGAAAGGTCACCATGACGTGTTGTCGATTCATCTCTTTGAAGATAAGGTGTCAACCCCGCTGCAACGAGGCCACGAGTCCGCGGCTTCGTCCCACTTCGGGCCGCCGCCGCACCGTTTCCTCGCGCACGTCGCCGCCCTCGAGGACGACACCGACGATGCTCAGAAGTCGAGGACGAAGTCGAGGACAGCAACGAAGACTCCAGCCCCCTCCTGGACACCTGCGGGCTCAGCCGGCACCGCTGCCCTCGGCGCTGGGAGCCTCTCAGGACCGAGTAAACGGGGACTCGTGAGAACCCAGGGCATTGGCACGCCCGAGCGGATTGCAGTCGCGGGTCGAAATGTTCTCTAGCCTTCGCATCTCCCGCTGGATATGGTAAAACCTTGGTCTGCAGCGTCCATTCTTCCGGGTCCTGAAGCTTCACCTGGAACGCCCGAAATGGGCACGGGAAGGAATTGGCACGATGCTCTCGACAGCACATCGCGGCGCAACCCGCCATCGTCAAATTGAGGGCGCGAGGGGTGATCACAGAACCAGCACGGTAGCCGCAAAAGATGCAGGGCTTTGTCCCAGACCTCCGGCGCCGGGATTTTTTCGCAACGTCGACCCCCAAAGGTCTGAACCCCAGCGAAAAACCTTCCGTCGTGATTGTTCCTGAGCGGCGCGAGGTGGTCTGTAGGGAGCGGCCAAGGAGGGGGGTGTCCAAGAGGGGGGGGTGCAAATCATGACCGGCGGCATGTGCGCGGCCCAGCGGGGGGGCCAGGGACGTAATGAAATAAGAAGAGGCGCCATGAAATCTGGGGAAATATCATGGCCCCCGCCATGATATCCACCCCCCCCTAGTCATCACCCCCCTCTTTTCCGCCCCCGAGATTGTTCCTCAGCGGCGCGAGGTGGTCTGGGCTGCCCATCCGCCAGGTGTTGGCCGGGACAGAGCGCGTGGCTCCCGGGGCCACCCCGCATGGACGGTGCTCTGGTCTCCCCCGGGCGGTGCACTGGCCCTGTCGCTCCCTCTCCACGCACGGCCACGTGGGCCCCCGCGGGGGGGGTCCGTATACCGTCCTGCGCCCACCAGCTCGCCGCCACTCGGACGTCCATGCCCCGGGGCATGGTTTGGCCTCGCTCGTGTAGTTGTCGCAAGATGAGCCAGGATGTTCAACGATGGTCCTCGCCCCCCAGAAATGCACACGTCCGCTATGGGCAAGCTCGGATTGACTGGGATCGTGGCGGCAGGAGGGCAGCACAGTCGGGACTGTCGGCTACAGGGAAGAGTGACCCTGGGTAAGGGACCTTTGGTGCGCGGCCTTTTGAGGGCCGCGGGGGGGACCAAACACAAGCGCGCAAGACGCTATTACCGCATCGCGTTCGGCGATCGGGGGGACCCCAGTGGGCCCGCACCAAAGGTCACTCCGGAGAAGGGTCACTCTTACGTGTAGCCGAACCTAGGACAGAAGAACATCCTTCAAGAACATGAGGCCCTCCGCCGGCCAAAGCACCCCAAACCTTAAGATCATTCGAGGGTGCCCTCCCGCAGGATGCATAAGAACATCCAACAAACACGAAAAACAATTGGGTACCCTCCCCGACCAACCTCGATCTTATACCTCGGTCCGACTGTAAGCAAAACGGCATGGAATTAAAACCGACGCAATCGCTGTGGCCAACAAGTGAAGCTGCAAGCAGGTGCAGGTAGAAAATAACCTGTGCGTGGGGGAGCGGGGACCACGAAAGCGGTCAAGGATGGGCCGAAGGGGAAGGACGCAAGGGCAAGCGTGGAAAATTGCTCACCCTTGCTATGCGGGTTGACTGTACGAGCGGGCGGACCACCGTTGGACAGTCCTTCGAGGTGAAAGGATTTGTCTGGGAGCAACAGGCCTCGGAAACAAAATGGCGAACACGCATGCCACATCCATCGGTCAACGCCTCCTCCTCCTCCCCCCAATGTTCAAAGTTGGCGGTGTGTCTGATGAGTTGCACTTGGACCGCAGTCTCCCCCGCGCGTGCCACCTTTGAGTTTTGGGGAGCCGGGGAGTGTTCACTAATTGTCTCTTCCTGCCGAATGCAGCCAGGAAGGTTAGCTCCGCATGTCGCTGCGGCAAGCGTCGCCTCTCTCCCTCCGCCCCCTCCCGCTGGCCATCCTCGCGTCGCCCGTTCCCCGCTCTCCCTCGCCGACCGGGGACTCCCCCCTTGATCTGGCCAGATCGGCAAATCTTAGGTCGGGCATGTCCTCCTATGGGCGGGCTTTGGAAGAAAATTCAAAAACCGTCAACAAATATTCACAAATGGTCAACCATAGAAGAAAAGTCGTTCCCAGACTATTGTGTACTGTTCGGGGATATTCCCCCTGCAGAGGGACATACATGCCCGACTTAAAACCAATCTTCATAATGCCCCCCCAACCCGTCCCGACGAGCCAGCGGCACGGGGGGGGTGGGGGATGGCGGCCCTCCGAGGGAGGGAGCCGCCCTCAGCGTGAGCGTTAGGGGAAGGAGGAGGCGAGCGCAAGACAGGAGGATGATGATGATGCTGATGCTGATGCTGATGCTGCTGCTGATGATGATGATGATGATGCTGATGATGATGATGATGATGATGATGATGATGATGGTGATGATGATGATGATGATGATGATGAGGGTGATGGTGCTGATGATGGTGGTAATGATGCTGATGAAGATGGGCATGAGAATGAAGAAAATGAGGAGGAGGAGGTGGTGGCCGGCCATGTGGCACAAGCAACGGAAAAACCTCGAATCTGAAGGAAGCATCCTACGATTACGCCCGCTCGCGTCGGTTCAGCTTGTTCAGCTTCGCTCACGGCCCTGGGCCAGCGGGCGGCGGTGCCGCCGCGGCGGCCTGTCCTGACCCACCAGGAGCGCGCAGGCGGCATTGACCCAAAACTCGCAGCTCATCGTCCACGCCTTGCGTGGGCGCGCCCGCCCGCTCCCCGCAGGGCTCCTCCTCGCGCTGACGCATGTGGTGTGCCTCCCTCCCTCCCTCCCTCCCTGCCTGTCTGTCTGTCTGTCTGTCTGTCCGTGTCTCTCTCTCTCTCTCTGTATATATATATGTATATATAAATAAATAAATATACAAATGTACGTATATGTTTGTATTACTCTCGCTCTCTCTCCTTCTCTCCCTCTCACTCTCTCTCTATCTCTCCTGCTCTCCCGATCTCCCTGTCTCCCTCTCCCCCGCTCTCTCTCTCTCTCTCTCTCCCTCTCCCCCCTCCCTCCCTCCCTCCCTCCCTTGTTTTGTGTGTCTCTCTCTCTCTCTGTCTCTCTCTCTCTCTCCCTCGCTATGTGTCCCTCTCTCCCTCTTCATCCCCCTCTCTCCCTCTCTCTCGCTCTATGTATACATATATGCGCGGACACGCGTTCCTACTCATATTTTTTTACAGGGCCAGGGACGCTGGAAAACGCCCCCCCCCCCCCCCCCCTCCCAACGAATTTGGCCCAACCCGGGCATCTCGGGCAACCTCCCAGACGACCCGGGAAAACCCCACGAGAGCCCGAAGACGGCCCCAGAGGGCTCCAGACATTCAGGCACGCTCCGAGACGATCCCAAAGAGCTCCAAGACGGCCCACGACGACCCCAAAGGAGCCGTCATACCCCTAAAAATCGCCGCTCTCAAACGTCCCAAGGGGGCTCCAAAAGCACTCCTCAGAAGGCCCCGAAAAGCACAATTAGTTTATTTTCTGTTGGTGTTTTGTGAATTTTGGGATTCTCCTCTTTTGGCTTTCCGACGCTCTAAGACGGCGGTCTTCTGGGCGCCGAAGCCGCCTGGGAGGCTCGAGGCTCGGCGCACGACCATCCAAAAGGGCTTCCAGGCAGTCCAGGGAGAGTTCCAAGACGGCACAGCAGGGTTCCATGATGGCCTCAGAGAGCCCCATGACGGTCCAAGATGGCCCCAAAACGGCCTCCGAAGCATTCCAAATGGTGACCCGCTCGTTCAGGGAAACCGCGGTTGGAGGCAGGGTGGCCCGAGGAAGCCCCAAGAGGCCCACAGAAGACGCCCAGTAGGCCTGCAAAAGGCCTTGCGAAAGCCTGAAGAATTTTTGTGGGGCTCCCAGAGGCTCTCCAAGGAGGAGCCTCCGCAAAAGGAGCAGAGGAGGATGGGGAGAATACGCAGGGTATGGCGAGAGTGAAGAAACATAAGCATGGAGGAAGGATACCGCATAACATTAGTTATAACGGCGATGCCGGAAAAGGCAACAAGGAGTTATCGCTAATTTGTCGGCTTAATTTTCCAGGCATTACGTCTTCATACCAAAACCCCAAACACCAAGGTGCATGGCGCGAAGCGCCACAGAAATCTGGCATATATGCATATATATATACTAGAACCACGCGCGCGCTTCGCGCGCGCGTTAAGTTCTGTCGAGTCACAGACCCAGGAATCGTTGTGAGAAGAAATTGGTGACGCGAAGTCGAAGCCAATCTGGCGTTAATCTGGCGGCCCATATCGGGCAACAATTGGCAATCTGGCGGGGGAGCCAGCGAGGTAACAGACTGGCGAGCAAGTAGAAATCTCCAACCTGGCCACGCCAGAGTGGCCCCTGGAGCCTTGGACTGTCGAGGAGAAGGGCGAGACACTGAAATCTTGGGACGCGAAGTCGAAGCCAATCTGGCGCCAATCTGGCGGCCCCAATCTGTCGAGGAGAAGGGCGAGACACTGGAAACGCAAAGTCGTCTCAAAATCGACCCCGGGACTCCGAACGCTCCAACGTTTCGGGCTGCGCCCAGCCGCTGCGACGAGGGGCCCTAGACCAAGGTGCCCCCAGGACTCCCCGGGAAGCTTCGGCGGCGTCCACAGCACCCCTCCTCCTCCTTTTCCTGCTCCTCCTCTTCCTCCTCCTCCCTCTCCTCCTCCTCCTCCTCCTCCTCTACTCCTCCTCCTCCTCCTCCTCCTCCTCCTCCTCCTCCTCGTCTTCCTCCTCATCCTCGTCCTTTCCCGAGCCATACAATAACAACTTGCGTGGAATCCCTCTCGGGCCCATCTTGGGGCTCTCTTGGGCCGCCTTTGGAGCCTCTTGTGATTTTGTGGGGGGCCTCGTCCGGTCGCTCGCTGGGAGTTTGACGTAGCTTCTCGGGAGCCTCTGAACCTGTCGGGGGCCTCCTGGAAGCAGGTTCGAAGCATTTTGGGGGCCGATTTGGGGCTTCTCGGGGCCTCCTTTGGGCCTCTTGGGGGTCTCCTGGGGCCTCTTGAGGGGCCTCCTTGGGGCCTCCTGGCGGCCTCTTGGGGCGGAAGGCTCGAGCTTGCGGTTCGTGGTCCCCCTCTGGGCCCCCTCTTGGGCCCGTCTTGGGGCCCTCTTGGGCCATCTTGGGCGCCTCTTGGGCCGTCTTGGGGCCCTCTTGGGCTGTCCTGGGGCCCTCTTGGAAGCTTCTTGGGCCGTCTTGGGGCGGTCTTGGGCGCCTCTTGGGCCGTCCTGTAACGTCGGAAAGCCCAAAAGACAACTTTGTGAAAAATGTACGTCTTACAAAGGGAATGGGTCAATTTTTGCGTCTAGGGGCCCTCTTGGGACGCATGTTGGAGGCTTCTTGGGGCGGCTTGGGGGCGTCCTTGGACGTCTGGGGTCTCCTGGGGCCTCTTGAGGGGCCTCCTGGGGGCCTCCTGGCGGCCTCTTGGGGCGGAAGGCTCGAGCTTGCGGTTCGTGGTCCCCCTCTGGGCCCCCTCTTGGGCCCGTCTTGGGGCCCTCTTGGGCCATCTTGGGCGCCTCTTGGGCCGTCTTGGGGCCCTCTTGGGCTGTCCTGGGGCCCTCTTGGAAGCTTCTTGGGCCGTCTTGGGGCGGTCTTGGGCGCCTCTTGGGCCGTCCTGTAACGTCGGAAAGCCCAAAAGACAACTTTGTGAAAAATGTACGTTTTACGAAGGGAATGGGCCAATTTTTGCGTCTAGGGGCCCTCTTGGGACGCATGTTGGAAGCTTCTTGGGGCCTCTTGGGGGCGTCCTTGGACGTCTGGGGTCTCCTGGGGCCTCTTGAGGGGCCTCCTGGGGGCCTCCTGGCGGCCTCTTGGGGCGGAAGGCTCGAGCTTGCGGTTCGTGGTCCCCCTCTGGGCCCCCTCTTGGGCCCGTCTTGGGGCCCTCTTGGGCCATCTTGGGCGCCTCTTGGGCCGTCTTGGGGCCCTCTTGGGCTGTCCTGGGGCCCTCTTGGAAGCTTCTTGGGCCGTCTTGGGGCGGTCTTGGGCGCCTCTTGGGCCGTCCTGTAACGTCGGAAAGCCCAAAAGACAACTTTGTTGAAAATGTACGTTTTACGAAGGGAATGGGCCAATTTTTGCGTCTAGGGGCCCTCTTGGGACGCATGTTGGAGGCTTCTTGGGGCCTCTTGGGGGCGTCCTTGGACGTCTGGAGGCCATCTTCAGCATTTCGGAGCCCTCTTGGAGGCCTCTTGGAAGTTTCTTGGGCCGTCTTGGGCGCTTCTGGGGCCGTCTTGTCTGACCAGGGAGGCCTCCGGCAAGCCCCGACGAGCCTCCGGGCCCCCCGGAGCCCACATTTGCGGTCGGGCCGTCTTGTCTGACCAGGGAGGCCTCCGGCAAGCCCCGACGAGCTTCCGGGCCCCCCGGAGCCCACATTTGCGGTCGGGGTCCCGTACGTCTTCTGCATTTTCGCTGTTCGTGTCTTAGCAGCGCCCAAAACAGCCAAACAGGCCTCTGGTATCGGCCCAAGACGGCCTAATAGACCCCCGAGAGAGCCTCTAGACGGCCTGGATGGCACCCAAGAAGCCCCAGATGGGTCAAAAAGAAGCCCAACAGGCCCTCACAAGGCCCCCAAGAGAAGCCCAAGAAGGTCATGGGAGGCCCTCAAAAATGCCAAGGCAGGCCACCAGGAGGGCCCACGTAGCCCCCGTAACGTTCCAAGAGTGCCCAAGCTCCCCAACACGGCCCAAGATGGCCCCAGGACGGCTCGAGAGGGCCCCAAGCCCCACCAAGGCTCGAACAAGGCTCACACAGCGTTCTGACCCACCAAACTGACTCAAATCCCGGGGTCGCAACCACATTTCCCGGAAATATGTTGCGAACCCAGGATTCCCCAGGAATTGCTTACTTTCGCGCTCCCCGTTGCGACCCGCTGCAACATGACATCCTCGGCTTGGCATTGCTTTGTATTTTGTGGCATTGCTTGACATTGCGTCGGTTTGCTTGGCATTCACTCGCGTGGCTTGCCATTCCTCGGTGCGGCGCAACCGAAATTCTTCGCCGTCCCCCGACGGCGCCATTTCTTTCGCTCATCCTGCTCCTCTCTGGGTCCTCCTCCTCCTCCTCCTCCTCCTCCTCTTTCTGCCGCTCCACCACTCGTCGTCCCCCACATCAGCTTCCCTCTCCTCGCTCCCCGAGATTCCCTCCCTCTTATCCTTCGCCCTCCACCCGAGGGATGGCCTCACGGACCAAGGTGCATGGCGCCAAGCGCCAAATGCAGTCTCGCATCTTTATATAGCTTGCCTCGCCATAGACGGGTCGACGGGTCAGCGGTGTTGGGCCCGACGGGCAACATGGGGATGCGCCTGCCAGCGCCCTTAGGAGTGGGAAGCGGGGAAGGAGGAGGGAGAGGAGGAGGAGGAGGAGGAGGAGGAGGAGGAGGAGGAGGAGGAGGAGGAGGAGGAGGAGGAGGAAGAGGCACAGGAGGAGGAGGAGGAGGAGAAGGAGGAGGAGGAGGAAGAGGCACAGGAGGAGGAGGAGAAGGAGGAGAAGGAGGAGGAGGAGGAGGAGAAGGAGGAGGAAAAGGCGGAGGAGGAGGAGGAGGAGGAGGAGGAGGAGGAGGAGAAGTTTAGGGTACTTGGGTGCCTGGGCCGCCAGGCCTTCCAGCAACAACCCGGGAAGTCAGGGTGCCTGGGGGCCTCCCTCGGCAAGTCCTCGTCCTCCTCGCCCTCCTTCGTCTCCCCCCCGGACCCTCCTCTCTTTCCTGCTCTCCTTTCCTCGTCCTTCCCCTCTTGCTGCCCATATTTCTCCTCTTGGTTCCCTCGTGCTTCCCCTCCCGCTCTGGCTACCCCCCCCCTGGAGGGGGGCAGCTGCCGCTGCCTGCCTGGCCTGGGCCAGCAGCAGCCGCCGCCCGCGGCTGCCGGCCCCGCCACTGCCTGTGGCCGGCGGCTGGGGGGAGGGGGCTGCACCGGCAAGAAGGAGGAGAGCAGCAGCAAGAAGAGGAACAGGAGAGGGACGACGACAACCAGGGGGGAGAAGGAGGAAAAGTAGGAGGAAAAGGAGAAAAAACAGGAAAGCAAGAGGAGGAGAAGGAGAAGAAGGAGGAGGAGGTGGAGAAGGAGAAGAAAGCGTAGGATGAATATTATTAGGGGGACGAGGTGAGGAGGAAGAGGAGAAGGAGTAGGAGGAGGAGGAGGAGCAGGAGGAAACCTCCAGATAGCCCAAGATGGTCCATGATGGCCTCAGAGAGACCTAGATGGATCAAAATGGCCCGAAACGGCTCCAGGATGAAGAGATGGCCCAAGATGGCCTC